ATTTTACGAGCTGCTTCTTCGGATACAGAAAAATTCGCTGCCTTGTTTATGGTTACAAAATTAATAAAAAGTTCCGATTGCAACACTCACGGTAAAAAATTGATTTTGGAAGCTATAGGATTTAAATTTTTAAAACGGTTGTTATTATGTCATGATGTCACAGCAGATTGTCCTCCTTCAGTGTATAGGTCTGTGGCTTTATCTGTATTATCTAGTTTTTGTTCAGATCCAGATTTAGCCACCCACCCTGATATTTTAACTAATATTCCAGTTTTTTTTGAAATCATTCAAAAATCTGATGATGATGATGATCTAGATGAGAATTTAATGGCCATCAATGAAGCCTATGCTTGTCTTTGTGGTATAGCATCAACCAAAGTCGGTCAAGAAGAATTACTGAAAGCAAAAGCTGTTACAACAATGTGCGAGTTATATTCTCATCAAAGTTTTCAAACCGATCAGGCTTTAAACATTCTTGTCACTTTAGTCAGTCGATTTGGTCCATCTGTCTGGGAGGAGAATACTAAACCGTTTCATGCGATAATGACAAAAATTGCTTTGGATTTTAAAACAGATAATAGTGACAGGAAATTTGAACTTTGTGAAATACTCAATGCATTATTAGTTAACAGCAGTAAAAGCATATCAGTGACAAACATGAAAGAAGAATCTTGGCCAGCAAGCATATACAAGGGATTAAATGATATTTTAAGAAGTAAAATTGGAAGGAATCAGAGAAACCCTGCTTTAAAATTGGCTTCTTTAATGGTTGAACTATGTGGAGTGGAGTGGACATTTTCCGATGAAGAAAATCCTCATTATTTGTTTTTACTTCTATTGCTGCAGTTATGCTGTGTGGAAATTAGAATGCAACTTGAAGACCGCACAATAAATGATATATTAAAAAATGCTGATTTATTAACAGCCTGTTTTACAATATTGGAGTTGTCTATTGCTTATATGGCACAAGATTTATTGGATTTAGAGCAAAAGGAAAAACAAAATTTATATGTATCACTCAAAGGTGCCTTTACTGCGGTTATAACGACTTTGCAATCATTTTCAAAAAGTTACCAGAAAGATAGAAGTAAAATGAAACCGGAAGAAATTGTTTTTACCATTGCCATGGTTAGGGTTTTAGCCGCGTGGTTGGCACAAGAAACGACTAGCATGAGATCGGCCGTTTACCAAATATTGCCATTTATTCTAACAATTGCCAATGATACGTTTTACGCGTGCCGACAAAAGAAAATGGAAAATCAAGAAAATGGCGCGAGTTCCAAACCAAAAACCAACGACTTATTTGCCCAATGTGACGTTTTTCGTATAATGTTTCCGGCTCTTTGTCATTTAACCGTCGAAGAGGAAGCTAGAAAATTAATGTTGAGTTTGAACGAAGAAGAAATTCTTTATCAGGCATTCGTTTTTCATTGGTCGAAAATATTAGTAAAAACACCAAAGAAAAAAAAGCCAAAAAATGAAATAATAGAAGAAGTAAAAAATTTATCACTTTCCGAATCATCCGCAGGAGAGGGAGCCGAAGAAAGAAAAGATTCAAAAACGGCCATTATAAGTCTTTGTAACATTTTTATGAATTTAACCGTATTAGAACCGAAATTGGCGGAAGAAAGTCCGACATTTTCAACCCTATTAAAATTCATATTGAATAATTTAACGGATTTAAAAGATGATTCTGATAATTTGGTATTAATAGGAAATTTATCAATATTGGGTTTGCTACTCCTCAAACAACAATCGAAAAAAATTAAAAAAAATGATTTTTCAATTTGCCGTTTCATACAATCAACGATTCGGTTTTTATGGGATGCATATTGCATTGACGAATCAGTGGATGCATCATCATTATCTGTATCAATGAAATACAAACAATATTGGCCGGAACTTATGGAACTTTGGTTTTTGGGAATGCAAACAATAAGTGCCATATTAATATTAATACCTTGGCTTTCAGATTTTGCTATTGAAAGCGGTTGGGCGGAAGGAATTATTGAAATGTTAAATAATGTTAAAAAAGGTTGTTTACCTTCTAACACAAAATCTGCATATGAAGATTTTTTTTGTAATCTTATTGAAGCTGATAAAAATTTAGTTAAAATTCTTAAAGATAAAGGTGCATTAACCATGTGCAAAACGCATCATTTTATCGAACTGGAGAAAAAAATGCGTTAATAATAGTTATATATAAAAATTAAAATTTATTTATTAAGAGGCGACATTAAAAAAAAATTTTTTTAATAAGTTTTTAAAGAGGAAAAAAAAATCATTATTATTATTTAACGATAACGAATATAACAGAAATCAATGTTGATCATGAGGAAGGAAAAAAATAATTAAATTTTAATAATAATATTATTTGATTTTCAGTTATTTTAATTAGATAGAATCAACGGAAATTTTTTTTTTTCGAGTAAAAAAAATTGAGCTAACGAATAATAATAATAATAAGTCAATTGTCTTTTGTTTTTGTTTGAATAATCTCTAATTGTTATTTTTTCGAGTTAATGTAAAGCGTGTGCCTATACTTTGGTTTTTTTTAAAAAAAATTTTAATTAAATGTATAAATGTAGTTATGTATACATAATAATTTAATATTATTTTAATAAAGCTTTGATTTATTTATCTACGACTGAAAAAGTGAAAGAAAAGCTTTTGTGCAGCTCACAAAAAAAAAAAAAAAAATATAAAAAAAAAAAATTAATATGAGTGTACATATATATACATATATATAATATTTAATAAAAAAAATTTTGTTGTGTTGTGTGCCAAATAACAGTCAGTCAATTAGGTCATCGACATATTCTCATTTTGTTTTTATTCATTTATTATAAATATTTTGTTTTATTCACTTTTTTTTCTTTCTTTTTTTTTTTTCTCTTTCATTAAATCAATTTCTTTTAATTAAAAAAAAAAATTTTTCAGATCCTTGATATACAGGTAAAAATTTTTTAAAAACAATTTGGAATAAATTGGAAATTATTTTCTTACTTTTTTTTTTTACCTTCTTAAAAAGTGAATCGTATAGAAGAAAAATAATTTTTTTTTTTTTTCTCGTTTAACGGACCCCCGATTTAAAACTCATATTATTATTATCGTTATTGGATAAAATAACGTATTGTAACGATTTCAATTTATCTTAAACAATTAAAAAAATTTTCCAATAATTGTCATTCAATTTTTATATATAACTTGAATCAGGTTCAAGATGTACTAGTGAGAAAACATGGATTTTCCCACGTGGACGCGATTAAAGCAACGGAAAATTTTTTAATAAGTTTTCGAAAATGTCCTGAAAATCCTGATTTTATTTTACACGACTGGAGACGATTATTATGGAAAAATTCATTGGGAGAAAATAATAATAAAATATTAGGTAAATAAATATTTAATTAATTAATTAATTTATTTATTTGTGGCTTTTTCTACTGACTTTTTTTCTTTATTTAAATAGGAGACGTTTATTCGCAATGGTTTAAATTTCGATATGAATATTTATCACCGGATCCGGATGTTGTTTTATTATTGAAAACTCTAAGGAAAACATACAATTTAGTACTAATGTCAAATGGACCCTCAAATTCTCAATGGGAAAAAATAAAAATGTTAAATTTAAACGATTATTTCGATTTGATTCTCGTTTCGGGTGATTTGAAATTTGAAAAACCAGACGAAAGAATATTTTTAAAAGCTTGCTGCCATTTTGGAGTGTCAGAAAAAGAATGCATCATGGTAGGAGATAAATTGGAAACTGATATATTGGGGGGTATAAGAGCTCGTTTAGGGGGCACAGTTTGGTTACCTTTACCCGATTTCGTTTACGATTCGGATACAATAAATAATATAGTACCCGATTGCATTATTTACGATTTTAAAGAATTAAAATATTATCTTGGTTTATGTTAGTTATTCGTCGATGACAATTTTTTTTCAGTTTTTTTGTTTAATGAAACGGGTTAACGATTTTTTTTTTTTAGTTCAAAGAGAAGTGTGAAAATGTTTCGACATTGAGAAACCAGTCGTAAATATATATTTTTACATAAATAAACCCAATTTTTTATTTATTTATTTAAATATCTTTGCTAAACATCGTTCGACATTTTGTTTTTTTTTTTTTTTTAAATTTTGAATCGTTTCTCAAAATAGATGTGCCTCGTTTATACATTTACGCCTTTGTAAATTCAAACGAGGCATTGAAAAAATAAATTATTTTTAAAAAATTTAATTTTAAACTATTAATAAATATTTAGAAATTGAAAATAATAAAATAAATTTTTTTTTTTTTTTTTTCTTATACGATTCATCAATTTGATTAACATTAAATGAATTTTTTATAAACTTAAAAATTTTTTTTTTTTATTTTTTATTAAAATCGTTTGAATATCGTCTGCTTTCATCGGCACACTTTGTGAATAAAAATAAAAAAAAATAAAAATTTAATATTACGGAGGCCGTTAACAAAATTGTTTATTATTAATATCCTTCTGTGTAATGTTTACATTGATGTTACAAAATGTATTTTGTTATTAAATAGCATGAAAAGGATAATTTTAATACGTTTAATACTTTATTTGATTACATTTAAATTTATTAATACGATTAAAGGAGAAGAAAAATGTGAGTCTAAAATAGAACTAAGAGCAGTATTATTATCTTGCTCTCATAAACACTCAGGATGTGATGATGATGATCCGCTAACTCTGGCAATGGCAACCGAGGAAAATAAAATTCTTGGAATAAATTCAAATAAATTTTCGTCACTGAAAGATGATGCTAAAAAGGAGTTTCCTAATTCCGTTAAAGAATGCAAGAGAAAGCTAATTATAACATTAAAAGTTAAAAATGCGGGCAAAGTAAGTTTTTGTTTTTGTCCAATGATAAATAATTTGATTATAGTTTCATTTTTTATTTTATTTGTTAAATTTACTACACTATAACTAGACGACTAATTTTTATTGTCGCATATTTAAATAATTAACATTAGATTTAACGAAAAAAAAAAAAAAAAAAACTTATTAAAAACTATATAAACTCTTGCCAATTTAGATGCCTTGCGATGATGAATACATATCGGTGGATCACGTTTTTGATCCAGAAACGGGAGGAAGGGGACGTTTATTAACTCCTGTTGTCCTTAAATTACATCAAGACCAAATGCTCCAGCTGTACGGACTCGAGTATCAAAGAGTAATTATTGACAAACATTATAAGGTTAAATTTAATTATGAGAATTAAAAAAATTTTTTTTTTTAAAGTCCGTTAATAATGATCCTTTTGAAGAAGAGAAAAAGACGAAAGACGAATGTAGCGTAAATCTGGATAATCCGACATGTGGAGTTACTTTGTACAATGGAAAATTTATACCCTACAGCGAGGTAAAAAAATTCATTTTAAACATGGATCCCGATTTTTAAAAAAATTTAAATTTTAAATTTCTCATTGCTTTTAACTTCAACGTAATAACGAATGATATTTTTTTTAAACGAATTTTAACGTCGAAAAAATTTCAATTCCGTTTAGGGTTTTTGTTGTTCTAATGGTAAAAAGAATGAAAAAGAAATGCTGTCGAGTTCTCACGCTCAGAAAAAATCATTTTTATACAGAAATCCGAAATTAATGACTCGCCAAGATAATCCTTACGTTGAAAATTTTGGATATTCCGGTGTTATTTTAGATCCAAAACTAATTCGTATTAAATATAAACGTTCTAATTCATCAGAGAGTACAGTTGATCAAACAATGGATGATGATAAAGATGATTATTGTCCATTTAAAGAATTAACATCGGATAAACTCCCGAATTTTTTTTTCGAACACGATAGAAGATTAATTTGCTGTCAAAAAGAATTTTTAAGAGATTTGTGCAACTTAAAAAATCAAAAATTTAAAAGTCAGTTAGAGTTGATTAATAATTTCCCAAATAATTTAGTAAGAAATACTAATAATAATAATGATAATGATAAATTTAATTTTAATCCGCGTGAAAATATTATAAATTATAAAAATGATGTTAAGGAATCATCGGTTGCGAACGGGAATAAATTCGGAAATGAAAAAATTCCCGCGGATTTTAATTCGAAAATAAATGATGAAAGAAGGAATAATTTTAAAGAGAATTTATTTTTAAAAAATTTTATTAAATCATTTAGCGCAAATCCGAATTCAATGAGTAATGAAAACTTATTGGAAAAACCTGAAGAACAACCGACGCGAGGAAAAAGAGAAAATTTTCAAAAAGTAAGAAGAAAAAAAATAAATAAATGGGATCAAAATGTCGTCTCTCTGAGCGATTATTACGAACGTAAAAATCGTTTGAAAAATCATCATGCTTATCCTCTGTTGCAACTATCCTCTTCGAGATTTGGTAAAGATATATTATTACATAGAAACACGTGGAAACGTAAAGTCAATTCGGAAGAAGATGAAAATTCTAAAATCACTCCTCCGGGATACTTTTTTTCACACGATAGTTCACTCTTGTATTCTGCTACTTCCACAGGAACAACTTCAAATTATTCTGCCGTAAAAGAAATAAACGATCTCACGATAAATTTTTCGCAAGATAATTTACAAAAGATTCCTAAAGATGATTTTAAATCGGAAAAACCTAAAGGAAAAGAAAATTATGAAAATACTAAAGATAACGAGAGTTGTAAGAAGAAATTAGGAGGGGAAAAAGAAAATGAAAATGAAAAAAATGAAAAATTAGAAAAGGATTTGATTTGTGATAAAAAAAATTCAATAACGATCGAAATTGGAGAAAATAAAAAAACAAAAAACGAACCACCTTTCGATAATAAATCAGAAGACGGTGAAAATGCGACAAATCAATTTTCCGGTTTATTTAAATTAAAAGAAATAAAATGCGATCATAATGATGATGGTCAAACACGTTATGAAACAACGACGGAAGAAAAAAATTTTTATTTAAACACCGTTTGTCCTCATCCGAAAGAAAATAATTGTAATTCGGAAGAAGAAATTAACAAAATTATATTCAGAGACAGAAACGATGATGATGATGATGATGATGATAATAATAATAATAATAATAATAATAATGAAAAAATACTTTATGAATGGCAGGAAGAAAAAAAACAACCGACGACGACGGGACAAGAATCAAACAAACAAATCCCTACAAATTCAAAGGGAAAAAATAATTTTTATCAGGATAAATACGAACATTTTAAAAACGAGAAAAATATCGAAACGGCACAAAAGGAAAACAGCGGAGGTGGAAAACTTAACGAAAAAGGATCCATAGAAGAAATTTTTCAAAATAATTTCAAAACAAAATGGCCGAATTCGGATGAACATTTTGAAAAAAAATTACCTCTTACTATTCATAGTAAAAATCTTGGACCGGGTAAGGGAAACATGAACATATATTTTGAAGTGATACAAAAACCCATTGACAAAATCCCCAAAATTCCTCATCAGTCCATCAAATATAATGATAATAAAAATCCATTTGTAAATACTTTTAAAACAAGAGAAAAATCTTTTACTAATTTTAAACACGGAAAAGAAAATTCTTATTTACAAAAACAAAAACAACAACATTTTTCACATCCGTCATCTTTTAACAAACGTTTTACATTTAAAAATATTAATAATAATAATAATAATGTCAAGGATAGTAATTCAGTAAGAAAATATCAGAATCATCACAATTTAAAGAAAACAACAAGAAATTACATGAATTCAAATCAAGAAGAAATGAATGATTTTCGTGTAAAAAATTATATAAATTCTAAACAAGATGGCGGTGGGATTTTAATACCATTTACGGATTACAATGATTATTATTACAGTAATAATGTCAGACATGTTGAAAATATAAATTTTCCAAGGATGAGAGAAAAATTAAAAAAAAATTTATATATAAATAATTACAAGCGTAATTTAATTCGAGAATATGAAAAAATAAAAAATAATCAATTAAAAAAATACCGAAATAAGAGAAATGTTGAAAATTCATCGGGAAATGATAAATATTTGTTTCATATTCCTGTTGTCGATGTTAAAAATAAAAGGTTATCATCGAATTCTCAAACGGAAACTTTAAATAATAATATATCAAAAATAAATAATAAAATAGAAAAAGAAAAAAAATTGGTAGAAAATGGCGATGTCGGTTACAGAGTTTTTTCATCAAAAAATGAAATTAATAATTTATCCGATGGTGAAAAATTTTCAAAGGATGGAAAATCAAAAAAAATTTTCTCGTATAAAAGTAGATTACTCAGATCTTATGAAAATGCTCCCAGTTACGTTATCGATAAGAAAAATGATAATTTAATGAAAAAAAGGCAAACTCTTTCTTCAGGAAAAAATGGTAAATGTTCAGGGAACAGCGCTCACTGTTTAAGATTTGGTGGTTTATGGTACGGAATGTATCAGATAAAAAAACCTGTCGTTGCACAAACTGTTGGAGTTCAGGTTTTTGAAAAAAATGTTTTTTTTAACGGTAATTCCGAATGGAGAGATTTAACTAAAGGAAAAATGGTCAGGTATTTTATTTTTTTCTGTATTTCTTTTTTTTAACAAAATCAAAAAAAGATCAAACTAAAAATTTTCAAATATTTATATTTAAAAAAAAAAGGGTTGGAACTTTTCTACCAAAAGCAGAAGACGAATTACCAACTTTTTCAATGACATATGCCGGTGATAATACAAAGAAAATATCAACGTCCATAGATTCCGATAATTACATGTTGCTCATTCCTTCTCACGTTTCCGATCCAGCTAAATCAAATAATTATCCACAAGTAAAAAAAAAAAAAAAAATTTTAATAAAATCTAAAACTACGGATTAATAATAATTAAAAATTTTTTTTTTCCTTTTTAAAGATGGAAGGTGGTCCAGACGAATATTTAGTAGTCAGATCAAAAGATGTTTCATCAGGTTCCGAATGTAATATGATAGGAACTTCTTTTGAAGCATTTTCCCAACAGCCCGATCGTTGTGCTCGTCCAAAAGGAAGCTGTTTGACACGACAGCCGGTAGATTTATGGAGAGAAGATATGGTGAGTAGAGGGTTAAAATTATTTTCAAAATAAAATTCTAACTGGTTAATGATTTCGCGTTGACATTTAATGATTAATGTGACAGGTGTTTACACGTTCATTTTTTTAAGGAAGCCAGAATTAGAGGGAAAAGAGGAAAATATTTTGTTGAAAATTTTGGAACGGTACCTAATTCTCCAGTAAAAACTTATTCAAATTTATCCGGTGAATATTTGGCATTGGAATACTATGGAGATTATACGAGCACTATTGAAATTGAAATGAAAGCGGATTTTAATGTCATGATTAGAAAAGGGTAAAATAAATTTTTTTTTTTTTTTTTTTGGCTTATCGCATACCCGTAATTACCCAATCGGATAATGAGAGAGAGAGAGAGAGAGAGAAAAAAAAAAGAAAAGTGTTTGAGTTTTCTTTAAAAATTACAAGAGTCCATAAGAGGTTTTCTATAATTATAATTTTAACAGATCTTCAGCTCAAATCCCTTCAGTTTACGTTGACAGTACATATCCAGACAAAACGAGAATTGTACTATCGGTATTAAACACGGGATTGACATCATCCTATTTTCGTCCTCGATTAGGAGATTGTCCGCCGAATATAAATCCAAAATGGTGTCCTTTAGAGGGACCTTTAGTAACGATAAATCCGCAACAGCGACACGATTTCAGATTAGATTTATCCGGTGCAATGCCTTCGAATAAATTTCACGCAACAGGTGGACCAACTAATTATTTTACCTTTTTTTTTTGTTTATATGATTAAAAATTAATATTTTTTGTTTTTAGTTCAAGTTTTAGATCAATCGAATAAGAAATTAGCTTGTAGAAGAGTAACATTTAAAAAATCAGATCGATGTCTTTGTGCTTTTCATTGTAAATGTAATTGTGTAGGAAATTCGGATGGTAGACGATGTCGAAGATTAGCTTCCAGTGATTTTAAAGATGCTGGATATTTAAGATCTTATCCTTTCAGAATTGGAACTGCTCCATCCACACAAGAATACATTAAAAATAATATTCGAACTATTCTTTTTGTTTGTTTTTATACTTTACTCTTATTGGGTAATTATTTTATTCTACCTTTTTCTTTTTTTTAAAATTTATATTTTAATTAAAAGTACGCGGACATTGTAAAAATAAAAAAAAATATATATATACATTTGTTTTTTTTTTTTTTTTGTTTCGTAGGAATATTAAAAGGGATTTTGGGTTTTTTTTGTAGAAAATTAGGAATGATCGGTATGAACGTTATTGTAGGACCGAGAAAATTAAAAAGATATTATGAATCAGAATTAAGAGATTGTGCCGTCCGTTACAATGAAAATGGTTTTCCAGTTCATCCTAAAAGTTTTGGCTCTGTTCAGTTGGTACCACTGTAAGATACTTTTTTTTACATCCTCCCTTAATACAATTTAAATTAAATTTTTTTATTAGTATTAAAGAATTAAGTAATAATAATAACATATTGTTCCGTTGTAAATATATATCAAAAAAAAAAAAAAGAAAAAAAAAAATTAAATAAATATTTTACAGATGCGTAGAAATTTTACTGAATTTTTTATTTTTCTTCATTTATCCAATAAGAGGACTTTGGTTCATGTTTTTATTGTTACCGTGTTTTTCGATCGTAATCGAATCAGTTATCGATTCCGAAGAAGAAGAAGAAATAAATAATATAAATAACATCGATCAGCCTCTTTTATCTCAATATAATCCTACAACGTGTGTCAATTATACTTTGGTAAGGTATAGATTATTTATAAATAATAATTAATTATCAATCAATAACAACCCCTTCGGATTAAAGACATAAAAAAAAATAAAAAAAAAGAATTGAATTTGTATTTCGAAATTTATTTTTTTTTTTTTTCGCAGAATTAAATCCGAGGTATCCCTTTAAAGAATTTAATGATCCGTTCTTTTTATGTAGACTACAGTAAACACAATGACAAGAAAACCAGACGAGTATCTCCCCTATCTGCCGTATAAAGGTGATGACGATCCAATGGAAGAAGACGATACGGATTTTGTTTTGCAAGAAATGAAAAGATACAGGAAAAAAGTGACCCTGCTATAAATTTAAAAAAAAAAAAAAGCCAGTGTATATTTCGCCCCCCCCCCTCTCAAAAAAAAAGAAAGAATTTTTTTTTTTTAAAGTGACGTATTTCTTTGCATTTGAAAAGAATCCTCCTCAGTTTTATTATCAGGAATTTTATTTAAATAAATAAATTGTGTACAAAAAAAAAAAAATAATAACAATCAAGTAATTAATGATAATATTATTTATAACAAAATATTATTTTTATTTCTTACAAGTTTTTGTTTTTTTTTTTTTGTTTTTTAGTTTTAATAATCATTTTTTTTTACAATTTGTAATGTTTTAATAAATCGTTTCTCTTTATTAATAAGTAATTAAAAATGAATAAATAATATTTTATTTAACTTTTATTTATTTATTTTCAAAGTATGAAAATTTTTAATAATTTAGAAAGTAGGATTACTATTGTGAGAAAATTCAATGCTTTTCCACTTTGGAAATCATTCAACTTTAAGTGTAAAAAAAATAAAAAAACAAATAATTAATAATTTTATTTATTAATAAATTCATAATAATAATAATAATATACATAACAATAAAAACTCTACTCAAACATAGGAATAATATATATTAATTGACTAATTTAATTTTTTTTTTAAATATTTATATAGAGTATAACAAATGATATAAAATTTTACATAAATAAATTATTTTAATAATTTAATTTATAATAATAATAATAATAATAAAATAAATGCATCTAAAAATCTAAAGATTTAACGTACATTATTTGTTTATTTTAATAATATAAATAAAATAAATAATTAAAACGAAAGTTAATTAATTAGGAAGACTAGGAGTTGTTAACAAATCAGGATCTTCTTCAATTTTTTGCATCGACATTTCCGCTAGAAAAAAAAAAAATTATTTATTTTATTTATTTTGTGTTTATTATATTTTGTATATTTAATTATTTATAATTAATTACCTTGTATAATTTTTTTCAGGGGTTCAGAATTTTTCATGTTTGTTGCTTTACCCGGACTGTATATAAACAAATAAAACAATGATAACATGATTGCGGCTAAACTCACAGAAAATATATAAGCAAACACGGTAAGAACTCTTATCAATTTTCTTCTATGTTTTGGTTCGTACATTTTAACTTTGTTATCATTTCCGGCAAATTTTATTTCCGATTCTGTTGCCATATTTTCCGGATCGCTGTTTCCGCCCCCCTTTTTGTTCATATTTTTCACAATTTTTTAGTCAATTATTTTATTTATTTTATAACATTTTTAATAATCGTTTCCGTT